AATGTCCAAAAGAGAAAGGAAAGACTTACAAAAGGAAGGGGTGTTGAGCTAGGCTAGTTAAGATTAATGAAATGTTCCAGATAAAATATTTTTAAAAACAATTTTGTGTTATCAAAACATGAAAGAGCTTCTTTGAAAAACCACCATAAGGGACTATTTTTCTTTCTAAAACTAGAAGATCATAATCCTTATAATTTATAAATCCTGCTTGTAAATTATTTAAAAAATCAAAGGTATTGTCATTAAATGTTTTACATACAATAAGTAATTTGAAAAACATTTGTGCATGAATTTTGATGTTGCCATATTTTCAAAATTGTGAATTACTGCTTGAAAGAAAGGAGAGTTCTACATTACATGGCTTAGAGAATCTTCCAGTGCTAAAACTGTACATTACATCTAATGTGGTTGATTTTTGACAAAGTAAAGCCTTTTGCAACTTTTCATTGGCTTTAGATGTCTCAGTAGCATATTATTAGTATGTTCAAATGATTTCTTCAACTACAACAGTTATTCAATGAGTATTCAAATATGTATTTCACACGTACAGATACACAAAATGCCTTCTAGTTGTAGGCTTGTGGTAATTTACATTGGGATTAGAATTATGATTATTTTATGATAATGGTGAAGTAGCCTTTAAGAATCTTGACTTCATGGGAAATACTTGTGTTTATAAATAGGATGTGTAGCTAGATTCTGTCATTTATGTCAAGGACATAAATTGTCAAGGACATTCCTGTCACTTAGGACAAGAATCATGTCCTTGTCACCTTGGCTGTACTGTTCGCAAGTTTATCTGTGCACATGAAGGTCTCTGTGATACACGAGCACCTGTTGGAACTTAGAGAATTCTTGGTATTCGTAATATAGATGTGTATCAGATTGAAAGCAGACAGTGCTTTATTCAGATGGCTTTCTCTCACAACAGCAGCACATTTACCCTGCTTTCCTCTCATACTTGACTGTGGGATCCACAGCAGCAGAGACCAGCTATTAATCATGTTTGAATTCCCAATGAATAGCACAATACTTGTCCCCCAAATAGACATGCAGATTAATTAACTAATTTGAGGGCCATATAAGCTGAAGTGTTTTGGGTGTATGTGTTTGGGAATGTAAATTGAAACTGTAATATAAATAATCCCATGTATTGTCACAAAGTAGATCCTAGAGACCCTTCGAAACATGATACTATATAACTCATTTCTTCAAACAATGAGGCCAGAAAATAAACCACTCATGATTCCAAGTTATCTTTTCTTTAGTCAAATATCTACACTTGTTATCCACCCACATTTAGAGAGTTTACCAATAATCTAACTACAATAAAATATTAATTGGAAATTAACTGACTTATCTATCAGGCACATGTATTTCAATTTCTTTATTAATAGACTTTCCATTTTTGTTTCCTCCTGGTAATCTTACCCAAAAGTCAAGTAGGTTAATACATCTGATTAAATGACTGAAATTAAATGACAGGCAAAACAAAGTATACATTACTTCAAGATACCTCATCTTGGTTTTATAAAAATTCAATGATAACAAAGTGAGTCTGAGTTAGAGACACATCTAAAGGATGTCTGGTAATTTTCAGAATGCCACTCTTAGGCACTCACTTAGAAATGATTAGACAATAGCATATCAAAGTATATAAATATTTTGACAGAAAAGGAATAAACATGGACATATATTCAGGTAAATTAGAGAAAGATAAACTATATGACTTCCTGATATAAATGCTAAACCTTTAAGGAAAAGTTAGAGTACCTAATATTGTCCAAAGGTATCCCCTCTTTTGTGTTTAATCTTCATAATTGATTTAAATAGTTTTGTGTTTTAGACAGGTTGATGAATAGAAAACTTCTGAACCTATTGACCTCTGAGTGGCCATAACTTACTTACAAAGATAGATTGAGAGAGGAAATTAGACAATGGTGTGCTGGTAAATGTTTAACAACTGGTTCTCAAAAAAAAAGGGGGAAAAAGCCTTCTTATTTCCAGTATTTGCTGATTTCTGTGGTGAAAATACTTCTGCCATAGCTTATTTCAGGCAAAGAAAATAATGTCTCTTACAAATGGAGTTTAGGAAGTAATAGTTACAATTGGTTGTATCAAGCTGGTTTAGCCAGTTTCTGTGCATCATTTAAATTAGGCCAGATGAAGTTAAAAAAATATTTTATGCAATAAGTTGATTACATACATACGTTTATAATTTAATGAACATTTTTGAAAAAAAGTGATTAAATAACTTTAAAAATAGTGTCTAATATGTGCCCCTCTTAGGGATACTCTATATATGTTAGCTATTTGAATGCCCTGAAAAGTATTGTATAAGAAATCTCTTTAGCATTGTTTAATATAGCATTCCTCTAAAATTTACTTAACCTCCAGATTAGTTTGTTGTCTTGGAACATCTAGTAACCTCAAACGTGGCTCCAGAGGTTTACCAGATATAACTAGATTGTTCTAGTTTCACTGGACACGTAGTTGGCATTCAGCAATCTTAGGTTACTGATACAAAGTACCTATTTGTGTAGCAAGGTCATAAGAAAAAGATTAAAAAAGACATTAGTAAATAGAGAGATCTTGTCTTCCATGACACTGGGTTATTTTTAGGTAGGCCTTTAGTTTGTGCAATCACAGGTTTGTTAATTTATTAGAGATGTATTTATTGAGCATCTACTATATTCAAAGCACTAGGCAATGAAAAATTACAGTGGCTTTATTTCACTTATAAGGGCATGTACTCCATAGCAAAGGTGAACTTTAATTTAATTTTTTATTTTTTTTATTTTGCATGGGGAAAAGAAAAATACACTAATTGTTTTCAAGTTTAATTCTAAGGAATATCTAACACATCCTGTTATATGAATGGAGTCTGTGTTGCAAACTACATGCAGTGTAAACATATTACTCGGCTATTTAATCCCTCAAATACAGAAAATGCTTCTTAAGAAGCTATCATTTTTCCCTCTAAATACTCAGCATTAATTGTCTGCATATTAATGTGTTAAAGTAACAGCATTTTACTAACTACGGATATGATTCTATGAGAATGTCTCCAAGTGTTTTATGTCCACATTTGGCAAGTTAGTGTAATTTATGTCCACACATAAATATTCATAAAACTGAGTATGTTTGGAAAAACAAAAGAGCAGGACTAATGGCTAAATGTTAACTGAAGGCAAAAAACCCCAAGAATCCAACTATCTTTTCTGTAACAGATTTCATGCCATAGCCTCATTTTTCCTTTAACCACAATTCACAAATTATCATGCAATATGTAAACTGTGGTACATTTGCTTTTGTTTTGTTTTCCTTTGGAGAACTGACAGGTAGATTTTCCATAGAATAAATAACTGGCATTTGACCTTTGGTGGCAAGTATAATCTGATGTTACATCAAAGAAACTCCGATGTTAAGTTATCTTAGCAGGAGATAATTATTCAGAGAAACTAGAACATGACTGCTTTAAGATGTTTGTTGCTTATACTAGTGTATAAATTATTATAATACTAAAATATCAACACAAATAATTCATTTTTACCCCAAATACTTTCCATATGATGCAAGCATAGACAATATATACCAACACATTGAAAGAAAGAAAACCATATGCATACATATACCCAGGAATCTAACTAAAAACACAGCATCAGTATGGAGGAACACACAAGAAAATTACCGTTTGATTTCTCAATTGAATGCATAAAATTTTTGCTATCGCCTTCACCAACACCTAGCTGCTTTGTAAAGCTACAAGAGTGTTTGAAATTAATATCTAAATACTACAACACCATATGGTGCTTATTTATAGTAAAGACAGAGCTTTTGAAAAGTAAATATAGTGAAAGTTGTTTGGAGTATTCTTTTCTTTGTCATTCACCAAATTTAACAACATACTTGCCAAGAAAAATTGCCCAAAGGAAAAATTACATGGAACATCTCTATTTAATTGTACTTCCTTGGAACATAACCAAACATTAACTTTTCTAATATTTAGTTATGGTATACTGTTAGAGGAATGTTAATTATTCATATGTCTACATTTTGTGTGGTTGTTTTACCAGACGTATCCTTGACGAAACAGATATGCTACATTTTTAGTGGTCAAATTTTTATCCATAAAGCATCAGGTATTTATAATAGAGTATATTGTACCACAAAATTCAACTTTGCAACTAAACATCTCACAGAAAAGAAAAAAAAACTTTCATATTTGCATAGGGAGTCTCATTGATGTATCAAGCAATGAGTAAAATATAAATGCATGAATCAGAAATGGAGCTATTGTCAGAGGCTAATGGCTTTGACTTAAATTTGAATTCACTGTATTTCAGAAGTCATAGGAAACCCAGCTCGCTGAGAGAACAGTAACACGCACCAGAGAAGTTTGTCCCCAAACCTCCTGCCTCTCCTCATGATATCTAACCATGATAATGAACATAAGTACGAGAAAAACCAGGGCAGGAGGTTAAATAGGACTGGGTCAAAAAAAGAGATTCACAAGAACATATATTCGATGTTATGGTCCGGCAAAAAAAAAGGAAGAACAAATATTTTTAAACAATATCCATAATAAAGCAATATTAGCAATAGTTGTATGGTTCTTCCTTGGGGGTGGGAGTATTATCTTGACCCTTGACCTCTGCTCACATAAGAGCCTGAGAAATGAAAATCAAGTTTATCACCGCTGTTTGCTTTATACAAATATACTGCCATTATTTAAACGGGTATAAGGAAAAATATTCTATTCTGAAATAGCTCAAGTCTGGCTCATAACAGTCATGTGACTTTTTTTTTCTGCCAGCCATGTGCTCCGTATCATTTTACTCTGAAATAACTACGCGGATTTCAGCTCAACCTGCCTTTGCTTATAATGCATGACATACCCCGTGAGGGAGCCTGAGAACAGACTCCCTTAAAAGCAAGGTTCTCATAGTTGGCCTGTAACCATGGAAGCAGATGCCGTTTTTCTTCTTACCCCTGCTTACCTCTTTGCAGCCTGGAGCTGCTCCCTATTGTTAAAAGGGGTACGCCTGGATTTTTCTTCATCGTGACCGAACTTGCCTCTTCTTCAAAGGGCATGATGCTGCAGGTCATTGGTCTAGACTGTTTGCACGGTCCAGAGAACAGCCTTGATGTAACCCTTGCTCCGTCTGAGCCACACCGCCAGCCGTGCATCTGTAGACTGTGGGGGGACATTGGAGATCTGTATTTGAAAAGAAGTCTGTCTGATTTTGCCATTGTGCCTTTCCACTCATCGATCGAATGAATATCGAACCTTCTGTCGTTGCATGTGTGAAATAGATAGCTTAGCAAGCACTTTTGTGCCCAACCTGTGTGGTGGGCCAAAAGGTTTTCCTTTTAGTCTCAAGAATGTTTTCTTCAGACTTTGTGAATTTTGTCGTAGCTTTAATTATTTATATGTTGTTTTTTTTAACGCAACTGTTATAATGACCGTTTCTGTTACTTCATCAGCAGTGACTTTCTTTTGGTCCTGGAAGGGGCAGTTTCTTTTCTATCAATATGTTTTTTCTTTTGTTACCTTAAAAGATCTTGTAACTCATTTGTAACTAGAAGTGGTGTAACTGTATCTTGGTGAGCCAAAAAGTTGAGACATCTTTTTAAGAAGATGATTAGATGATGTCTGTCATTTAACAGATTTAATTCCAGAAAGGTGAGCTTGACCTGCTGCAAGGTAATTTCAGGGATTTGTAAGAGTAAGTAAATCAAATACATTGATTTTAAATGAGACAAAACGTTTGGTAAGCTCTGTTCATGGAAAGATGTTTTTTTTGTTTTTTCCCTTTTAAGAATTTGTGAAAATGTCATTCTGACATATTGAAATATACTTAAATATGTAAAAGATTTACTGAAATTTAATGTGTTAAATAAATGCCATATATTTATAACAGGTATCTTATTATATGATTCAATTAGGGAGTATACCATATGAAAATATGCTGCATACATTTCATTTTGAATACAATTACAATTCAGTGCTTGTCATCAGTAACTGATGTTAGCAATAACTGATGGCAACCATACGGATACCTGCTCATTCTAACATGTATTATTTTATTTGAGTCCTTAAAATCAGAATCATTTCAAAAAGGCTCATATGCTCATCTTCAGTGTATTACTTAGGGAGCATTGTCTGTGTGTCACAAATTTTGTTTTGTTTCGAGAAGCCACTATCTCATACTTCAAGGCATACCTATTTTCTGTAATTGCCACAGGCGAAGGGGAGGTCCATGACAGAATAAAGAAGGTTATTGTGACGGATGAAACATAATTCACAATGAGTACTCTTTTCATCCAGCCTTAAGTAGCAGGATTACTTCCAAGCTGAATTTGGTGGCAGAATGTATGAGCTGATTTTATTAACATGTAAGGATAGGCCAAAGGCAGAAAACCTATTTCTCCTCAGCCGGGTGGTAGTGGTTTTGCATGTTTCTGTTCAGGAGTTTTATTTGGTTCATTTCAAACAGAAGATACGAGGGACTGAAGAACAGTCTGAAAAATTGGAAGGAACAGGTGGGGAGGGTAGGAAATAGGAAACTTAAAGCAATAAAAGATGGGTTTTTCTATGCTTGATAATGAAAAATGGTGAAATCAATATATTTCTACATTCTTTGGCATGCACATGACATAGTCATACTTTCAACAAACATGAGCTGCAAAAGTAGGTAAATTTTATTTCATAAACTTACATTTTTTTAGATAATGACTTTCTTGTCTTTTTCATATTGTTAACGTCAAATGGTTTGTTAGATTTCTAGATGCTGTTTGGTTTCCCATGAGGGCTTAATAATAAATTTAAACTAAATAGCTGTGTGTTTGCTTGGATATTCTATTTACTTTCAAATGTTTGTTTTTAATGATAAGGCTTTTATTTGATCTTAAAAAAGTTTTACATCAGAATGTAAATATCTATTTTCTTTCGCTTTCTAATGAGGTCGGATTCTTTAGTTAAATTAAAAAAACAGACAAAATTGTACTTAATAAATATATATGCATTAAAAAATTCCACACTACTGTGTTTTAAATAGAGTTTCATTTTCATTAGCCATTAGAATTATTATTTGTAAAAAAATTCTGGTTTTGGCTTTATTTTCATACATTATAGCATTGTAGCTCAAGTATGTTTCTGTGTGGAAAAAGAAAAGCAAGCAGTTAGTCTGTCTGCCAACAGAACTCACAGCGAATGCCATTTCTCTGCTTTGTTCTTGTCAATCATGGTTTGTTGTTCCAGAAAGGGAAAAGAAAATTCTAAATTGTAAATTGAGACTTTTCTTAATATAATGGATACCTTTCATATTTTAAATATTACAAGAAATAATTCAGATATACTAAGTTTGTGTAGGCATTCTCTAAAAGAAGGCATAAAACCTATCTACAGGTACTTTTAGATGTATATTTTTAAAGTACAATTATATGGTTCTTTTACATCTATCAAATACATAACTCTCATCAGCTAAAATGGTTTTTTTACTTATTTAAGTTGGCTTTAGAGCCAAACACTTAATAAAATATGCAATAAAATCATTTCACCATAAAACTTATTAGCATTCTTAATAAATACTTGTTACTGCATTACAGATTTGCTTCAATTAACCAATTTTTCATTTCTGTTTGTGCTGTGATTGAATTGTTATTATTCAAAACACAATAATTTAAAAGTAAAAGAATGAGATATTCCATAACTTCAGAAAATATAAGAAATCATATATTTATTATCTATTTGTTGGTTAAAATAGAAATCTTCCCTTACTGAATTAAAAAATACCAAATGAAATCACATTTCTAGGGAGAATTTTTAGAATGTTTTTATATGTTTTTGTTAATACAAATAGAATATAATCTTTAAACAAAATAAGAATTTTAAAGTATGAAAATATATATATTTGTTATTACCAGATTATCTATAAAGATTTCCTATTATAGTTTTCATATCTACCTTAATAATTACTCTGTAAAAACATGTCAATGCATACATATTTTTGTATTTGGTAAAATTCTCTACTTCTGTTATTTAATAATTATTATTTTATGCAATTTATCTGAAATATTTGTATAATTTATTATTAAAGCATATGAATGAATTGAATTAATACTAAAGTGAAATTTTTAATCCAACAGAGGAATGAAGAAAACTTTAAGAATGATGAGATTAATACAGACGATATTTAAATGTGATTCATTATATAATTTCTAAAACAATAGGTTTTCTTTCATTCATTGTTGAATTTAAAGTCAAATGGTGCATGTTGAACAATCATATCTTAAAGTAAAATTCATCTGCACTCTTTGACTTTATAAAATATTATGGGAAAATAATTGTATTCATTTGAGGATGGGGTTTTGTTTTGTAATTACATGATAGCTTTACAAAAACATTATGTAATCCGAAAGTGATATAGTGAATGAATATAATATATATAATCACCCTGTGTACTCATCATAGTGCTGGAAAAACTAATAAAAATAGAGGTAAGTATATTTGATTTTCATCTACTATCTTTGTAGAGTCACACCTCTGTTTTACTCAAAATCTACTTGCTGTGTTTCAGTCCTGAACATTTTTCGTATTGCTTCCTTCCTACTTCCCCTCCCTAAAACACATTTTGCTATAAACTTCCGTGCCAATCACTAGGAAGACATGGCTGCAATAGCAGTTCAGGAAGCAGCCCTGTGAATGTAAAAAAAAAAAATCACAGACTTTGATTTTATAAGACAAGTTGGATAGGAGTCAAAACTGCCACATGCAGTGTGAAAAAATGCCACCCTGGTGTGAACAAAAGGTTTAAAATGGAGTCAAGAAGCATGCAACCGCCCCGTCTCACCCTTCCCTGGGAATTGTCTGCGGCAACCTGCAGGGTATCAAGTGGGCCGGGAAGAGTGGAGAGGCTCTTGGAAGCGACAACTGAGAAACATCAGCCGTCAAATGTGTTAGGTTGTTTTTTTTAATTTTTGTTTTGTGTTGTTTTGTTTCATCTAGGCATCATTATACAAAACTGTTTTACCCAAAACATAAAACAAATCCAAAAAAAGTCACATAATGTGTAAAGAAACTGTTGCTTACAATGAATTGTCAGTTTTTTTATTTTTAGCATTCTTTCATTTATAGCAAAGTAAAGTTACCAACTGTACTTTATATTTCAAATTCATTATTTTATAGAACTAAGGTTTATTTATAGGATTGTGAATAAGGTCTGAGCTTTATTTACAAAGGGTGAATAGGGAAAAAGACTCATAAAATCCTGACTACTAAACAAAAAATGTAATTATAATACTCATGTTTGATTACCTCCTAAATTATGAAGAAAAAATGTAGGAAAAAGACAGTCTTTGGAAACTCTTCAAAACAAGCATTTCATATCTTCATAAATAATATAAAGATAATTCCAAATGACTATTCAATAGAACTAGTCCTTCATAAAAATATTTTTGCAATGTACTACTACCATCTACTGATATTTATACCTTTTTTAGTATAATATGATGTAAAAATTTACTCCACATACAAAAATATATGTTAACTAAAAATAATTAGTCCAATAAATCTGAAGTTAAGCCATTATTATTTGCTTAAATAACTGAAAAAGCAATTCAATTGTAAGGATAATTAAAAAGTATACTACTCTGTCATAACCTCCATGTTAATAATCTTCATATGTTTATGAAAGCACATAGGAATGCTAATTACATGATAAATTATGAATAGCATTTAAAGAAAGTAACATTTCCTAGGTGAGTGTGATCTAATCAATACAACACATCTCAATGCAACAAGAAACATCTTTGATTAGCATTGTAAAGATCCTTAAACTTTGAAGCCAGTTTTATTACATTTGCATCTTATCTCTTATTAAGGATTGGGTCTCAAGCCAGCAAATCCCATCGGTTATGAATGCAGGTCAAGACAGGAACATTTTTCTATTTACTCTTTGTAACAGAGGATAGAAATCAATATGTTACTTTCATTACAACCACACAATCAATTCCATTTAAAGTATAATACAACAGCCAAGTCCAAGGACAATATGGATCCTTGGAAAAGCTCATACCATTTGCAGGGCTGTATTAGATATAGCTCCTGGTGAATTGTTTTCTTTCTAATTAGTGTGCATGAGTCATTTAAAGCAAACATGCTTGAACTGGTTTTGCAACAGAGGATCCACCAAA